ATAATTGTGATGATTATGGCTTACAGCTCATGAAAAGCCCAAATCCACAATCTCAGAAAATTAGAATATTGTGAAAAGGTGCAATATTCTAGGCTCAAAGTGTCCCACTCTAATCAGCTAATTAAGCCATAACACCTGCAAAGGGTTCCTGAGCCTTTAAATGGTCTCGCAGTCTGGTTCAGTAGGAATCACAATCATGGGAAAGACTGCTGACCTGACAGTTGTGCAGAAAACCATAATTGACACCCTCCATAAGGAGGGAAAGCCTCAAAAGGTAATTGCAAAAGAAGTTGGATATTCCCAAAGTGCTGTATCAAAGCACATTAATAGAAAGTTATGTGGAAGGGAAAAGTGTGGAAGAAAAAGGTGCACAAGCAGCAGGGATGACCGCAGGCCTGGAGAGAATTGTCGGGAAAAGGCCATTCAAAAGTGTTGGGGACTTTCACAAGGAGTGGACTGAGGCTGGAGACAGTGCATCAAGAGCCACCGCACACAGACTGATCCTGGACATGGGCTTCAAACGTCGTATTCCTCTTGTCAAGCCACTCCTGAACAACAAACGTGAGTAGCGTCCTACCTGGGATAAAGAAAAACAGACCTGGTCTGTTGCTCAGTGGTCCAAAGTCCTCTTTTCTGATGAGCAAATTTTGCATCTCATTTGGAAACCAAGGACCCAGAGTATGGAGGAAGAATGGAGAGGCACACACTGCAAGATGCTTGAAGTCCAGTGTGAAGTTTCCCCAGTCTGTGTTGATTTGGGGAGCCATGTCATCTGCTGGTGTTGGTCCACTATGCTTCATTAAGTCCAGGGTGAATGCAGCCGTCTACCAGGAGATTTTGGAGCACTTCATGCTTCCTTCCGCAGACGAGCTCTATGGGGATGCTGACTTCATTTTCCACTAGGACTTGGCACCTGCCCACACATACAAAAGCACCAAAACCTGGTTCAATGACCGTGGGATTACTGTGCTTGATTGGCCAGCAAACTCGACTGACCTGAACCCCATAGAGCATCTATGGGGCATTGCCAAGAGAAAGATGAGACCGAACAATGCCGAAGACCGCTATTGAAGCATCCTGGTCTTCCATAACACCTCAGCAGTGTCACAGGCTGATAGCTTCCATTCCATGCCGCATTGAGGCAGTAAGTGCTGCAAAAGGGGCCCAAACCAAGTACATATGCATGCTTATACTTTTCAGGAGGTCCAATATTGTTCTATGTACAATCCATGTTTTATTGATTGCATGTAATATTCTAATTTTCTGAGATTGTGGATTTGGGGTTTTCATGAGCTGTAAGCCATAATCATCACAATTATGACAAATCACGGCTTGAACTATCTTGCTTTGCATGTAATGAGTCTATCTCATATATTAGTTTCATCTTTTAAGTTGCATTAGTGAAATAAATGAACTTTTGCCAGATATTCTAATTAGTTTCACCTGTATGTGCCTCTTACCTCATTGCAGTACCAGCAAGTCTCTGGAGAAGGGACGATCCAGTGTATGGAGACCAGGTCTCTGTACCACCTAGTAATACTTTTGTAATTCTTTTCCTGTGCATATGAGGAAACATGATTTATGCGTGTAGTAATAAATGGTGGGTCAATCTGTCTCCGGCAGGTCCCTGTTCAAGTCAATGGGCCCACAAGCCCAGCTGCACCTGAGGGAGAACATCACTCAACATCCCACAAACGACCAAGATCGTGTGGCGAGCCCTTTCTTTAGAGACAAGCATGAGTTCAAAGGCTGTTAGCGGTCTGTGTCTGCCCACCAGCATATAGAGCAGGACATATCCCAGACAGTTGCAGATACAACAGCCAATTCAGCAGGGGGTTCCCCATGTTATCAGTAGGCGGCACAAAAATGGCCAGTCGAGGGGTGTATAAAGTCTTGAGACGTGGGCCAGTCATTTCTCCTGTATCCCACCCTGGTGGGGAACAGAACTTTTGAGTTTTTAAATATGCCAACAAATCCAAACTATTACCAAAAAATAGTTCCTGTTACTATATACCTCGAGGCTGGTCATAAGTATAATGTTCATGATATTGTACCAGATCATCAAATACTGAACTTAATACCAGTTCTCTTCCTTCCCAGGATTTTTGCATTATATCATGAAAACAGTCACATCCTACTGCACTGCTATGGAACACTTGCATTGGAAAAATGTGAGGTTGAATTATCCATTACAAAGCCTGTTACCTGAAAGCAACTTTTACCTAAACTTGCATGTTCCGATACCTCAGCCAACCATAATATATTGTACAATAATGGCCAAAAATATTGGCACCCCCTGCATGTCAGATAATGCACCCCTTTGCACAGAAAACTGTTACAATTACAAATGTTTAGGCATTCTCATGTTTATTTAGTTTGTTTGATATGACAAATAGAATTTTAAAAAAAGCCAAAAACCTGACATACCACACAAAACTCTAAAAATGGACTGGATTGGCACCTTCTCCAAATTGCAAGACATAATTGCATTCCAAGTTTTTGTGGAAAAGCATGGACAATCTCAAGGCCACAAGTCCATCTCCAGAGATCTTAATGCTCCTGTGTTCACTGTGCACAATATGGTCAAGAAGTTTACAGGCCATGGCACTGTAGCTAATCTCACTGGACGTGGACAGAGAACAATTGCAACAAAAGGATTGTTCGAATGGTGGATAAAGACCCTCATCAACTTCCAGCTGACTATCAACTGTGTCAGCTCGCACTATACGTCACCATCTGAAGAGGGACGCTATGGTAGGAGACCCAGGAGGACCCCACTGGTGACATGGAAACATAAGCCAGATTGGGGTTTGCCAAAATCCTTTTTGGAGAATGTGCTGTACAGATGAACCCAAATTACAGCTTTTTAGTAAAGCCCATCATTCTACTGTTTTTAGAAAAAGAAAAAAAAAAATACAATCCCTAGTCAAATACAGTGGAGGTTCACTGATGTTTTGGAGTTGCTTTGCTGCTCCAGGCACTGGATGTCTTGTCTGTGTGCATGGCATTATGAAATCTGAAGACTACCAAAGAATTCTGGGGTGCAATGTAGGGCCCAGTGTCAGAAAGTTGGGTCTCTGTCAGAGGTCATGGGTCTTACAGCAGAACAATGACCCAAAGCACATGTCAAAAAGCACAGAAATGGTTTCAGACAAATCGCTGGAGAGTACTGGACTGGCCAGCAATGAGTCCAGATCTAAATCCCATAGAGCACCTGTGGAGAGATCTCAAAAACAGTAGTTGGGAAAAGGAACCCTTCTGATCCGAGAGACCTGGAGCAGTTGCCGAAAGAATGGTCCAAAATTCCTGTAGAGAGGTGTAAGAAACTCATTGATGGTTACAGGAAGCCATTGATTTCAGTTACTTTTTCCAAGGACTGTGCTACCAAATATTAATTGAGGGTGCCAATCATTTTGTTCAGTCCATTTTTGGCTTGTGTGCCATACCAATACAAATTAAACAAACATGAGAATGCCTACACATTTGTAATTGCAACAATTTTCTGCACGCAGTGGTGCATTATCTGACAAAAGCAGGGGTGACTGTATAAACCACAAAATGCAAGCAGCGTTACATTTTTTTAAATAAAACTAATTTAGGGCAGTTTCTGTTTACAAATAAAAAGGATGCCATTTGTTGACCGCTGGGAAAAGACCCATCACAAAAGTTGTCGCAGAAGTTGAAAAATACCAAAAATCTCTAATCCATAATTACGAAGCTAAATCTTTCCAACTAGTAATGAACACATTGTGGCTGTCTGGGGGTGTACAGAAGTCAAACTGGCCACTAAAAATTATACAGGAGATGGGAGAGCACCTGTAAAGACTCGCCATGCAAGTATACATTTCTCTCATTAAGCTACAGGGCTGAACAAGAGAAATCACGTGGCTCCCCTATGCACGCTATAGAGGATGGAAGAATAATTCAGCACTGCTGGCTACTGCATTCAGGCAGCCACTCGTGGCGACCTGAATACCCAAAACAGTGACTGAACCTGTCTGGCTGACTATTTTCCAACAAGGTGTAACGGGAGGTATGGATAGTTTAAAGACATTAAAGAGGGGAAAGAGGGAAAAAAAAAAAAAAGGAGATGCCAAATAGCAAGCTCATAGGTATCCTTTGGCTTTGAAAGCTGCTGGAGCCTCATATCAGCATGCAGTGCCAGTATATAGATGAACCAACTGAAAATTCACTTGCGTCTGTCCTAACCAATCGGTAAACCCCATTATTCAGCATTACAATGTCCAGTTTTCAGCACTTCTAAGCCATATTTAAGGCCAATAAGTACTCTAAGGATACCCAAGTTTTAACAAAAAGGGAGGAACTAAAATGGCACAGACAGCTTTTTATTGTGAAATGAAAAAACAACAGTACTGCTTTTATGCATTCATGATAAGTCATCTAGAGATTAAACTTGTTGTTTGCACTAAAATATGTATTTTGTAAACAGCAAATAATCCTTTCAATCTAATGAACATCCCACATTAAAAGGAAAAAAAAAAAATCACTTTTGAACAAGCGTCACGACACCAGTCCCCATGCCAGTGGCCAAGCAGGATTTTGTCGTGGAAAATTAGTACGGTCATGTGAGTTTTGCCAAGTCCTGATCGTGCCAACCACACTTTGCAAGTGGGTTGATGGCTGTCACCAGCAGAATGTTGTAGAATTCAGGAAAAAACATATTGAATGATAAGACACCATGAATGTTCAGTCTGTTACGTGACCAGTAAACTTTAAACCACAATAACCCCACCTTAGCCAGTCCAGTACCAGATGTTGGAATTTCCACCCGGGGGCGGGCAGAAGCTAATTCTGCTTATGATACTACTTCGATCCAAACAACTTTAAATGAACATAGAAAAAAATATTTTTGTTCTTTGGAACTTTACACTATCATTTGACGTCAAACAGAACAAAATCCATACTTTATATACACACACTTCTTGAATTTACAAAGAAAGTAAGGTTGCAAACATTGATTAATTCAGGCTGCTAACAGATTGGTTTATGCAACTTTATTGAAGAATAAAGACTAACAGAGCTATTAGTTGATCAGTCAGCCATTGACGCTTGAATTGTTTTATTCAGTGCTATATTAACAGTGTTTTGGAGGATAGATCAACTAATAGCTCGGCCTCCAAAAAAAAATCTCAATGAGAAATTACAAAACGTTTGATCCTGTTATTAAATGGGGTTTCACCTTCCAATTTCAATTTGTCATATTTATTGACATGCATAAAATACATTACTTCTGTTCCGCTATATAAATTTCACCAACTCGCCACCCAAACATCAGTTATGAGCATAAAGTACATCATGAAGTCTGAAATAGCTGAAGGGTTTGACCAAAATATCCAGAGCAATTCCATGGTCCTGTATTCTACAATGAGACAACTGGGCATCGTTTTTTTGTTTAATTTATTTCTGCTTAGCACCTTCCCCTCCCTAGCCCAAACAGAGGCGCTATCTTCACCATTTCAGTGAGAAATGAAAGATGGATTTAGTCTCATAACCAAGTTACGGTGAAGACATTGGCCACATTTTAAACACATGCTCCATTTGATACAATTATGAATCTTGGGCAATTGTATTCTGGTAACTACTTGACAGTCTAGAGCAGTTTCTGTCCAATATTGAGCTAAAAGTCTTCCTGTGTGAGCATGTGCATGAAGGGAGGCAGCACGAAAAAAAAAAAAAAAAAGGAGAGAGGAAGGTAAGTAGATGAGGTCTGAAAGGGAGGGGAAAACAGTAATTTAAAGTTTATTCCAGCTATAATGCAGGTTTATTCAGACTTGAAGGTAGCATCACATAGCATATTTCTGAGTCCATTCCCGGGCTATTCTGTTGTACCTGAAAGATTATACAAGAGAAGATATTATCAAAGATATTATAAAGCATTTAAGATTTGCATAGTTTTTCAATCCTAAAAATCAAATGCAAATAAAAACTGATCCAAAAGTCTACATATATAAAATAGTATAATGAGCAAATGTCAACATTCATTAAATTGCCTGGTGTTAGTGGCAGTTGCTTAAGATGCAAAGTTTGATCTCGCTGTTGGAAAAGCAATACTCGTCTCTCCTGCCAACTATCTTCATTGTCGAAATGCAACTGCCCTGCATCTGACACTGCCATGTGTGTCAGGTTCCTGGTCCCACGCTGAGCACAGTGGTCCAATCAGCCGACTCCTTCACTACTGTGTTTAATATCACATGGACTGGCTGATCAAACCACAACGCTCAGCTGGGGACCAGGCATCAAACATTCCTGGAAGCAGGGCAGATAAATATGAAGCCTTTCCTTTCCTGGGAAAAAGTTTTTGAAATTTCATCAACAGAGTAACTTTAAAAGAGAACTTTGGCGTTTGCTCTCTTTTGGGTCACAGGAGGATATTTAGTGCCGGTGACCTAAAACACTGCAATTAGCAGGTTATTTGTGGAGTTTTGGGTCATTTTGGGACATCTAGTAGCAGGTTTCAGTCTAGTAACATCCAAATCTTGCATGATGTGAGAGCTAGCAAAGACAAAACTGCAGCAAATGACTGAAGATTTATATTGCTGTGTGCCTAGAGATGTCTATGAACTACTATCTGACTATTTTAAAAGCTTAGCTGCCTGCCTGTCATGCAGATTCAGAAATTTGAATATGCTCCAAGTCACTGACCACAGAAAAAAAAAAAATGCAGTCAGAAGTCCTGAACTGCATACCAGTTAAAAGGTAAGTCTTAAAAAGGCACTGGAATATGGCAGCCAACGACTAGCATTTTCATGTAGAGGTTAAAAATGCCAGCCCCATATTTCTCTAACACATGGTGAGCTAAATCAGCCAACCACCTAGCCCTCACCACAATGCAGACTGTCGTATCACTCCTTTCTTCAATGCTCTACTTGTGTTGCGTGTCCAGTTACATTATACATAAAGAAATATTTCCCAGCATGCATCTGCCTTCTCCCATTTACGAGTCTGCTTTCCTGTTGCGATCTGACCAGGGAGTCTTGCTCTGGCAGTTAGGTTTATAACCAAAAGACCCTTAGAGACCAGTAGGTGGGTGATTTGTCAAGCCAGCTAGTTACATTACCGAAGTAAAAATGGCCTGGGGTAAACACTGCATCTAGACCATAGAAAAGCTCTTTGGAGCTTCTCAGTCTTACAGAAACCACATGGTCACTTCTGCAGAAGTAAAATATTTCGATACATCATATTAATAGGATTAGTGAACCTATTTTTTTTATTTTTTTTTGCATATTACTGTCAAGTAGGTCTTGCCTCAAAATTCAAATTGGGAGATTTTATTAATTCAGCTTCACCATCAGGTCCTTAAAGAGATACCAATGCTGATCATAACAGCGCATAACTGTGCAGTATACCTGCCATAACAAATTGTGACACCAACATTTTCCTTTTTTTATATAAACACATGCACAGGAAAGAAAAAAAATGCAGATCAGAAGGAGATTAACTCCAGGACAACAGCATCTGCAATGCATTCAGAATGATCTCAAAAGCATGCTGCACTTGTCTACTGAAGCCATTTGACACTGGCCCTTAGTAGGTCCTAAATGCTCAGACTACATATGGAACCTAGGGTGCATACACATAGAAAACACACAATCCAAGATGGAAACATGTCTGTATGTGGTCAAAGTTTTACAAACAGAGCAATTTTTCTGTGCATTCTCCAAAAGTAATGCACTAAACATTTCAGCGGGGAATTTCTTATGCTTTCACAAAAATGTAACAATGTGCACTACAGGAAGCTAGGATGTACTTAAAACTTTAACCCAACCTATTTCTAACTTCTTTAAATGGTTTGAAAGATTTATCTACATATAATCCGCTAACCCAAGAGTTCTCAATTGAGAGCTTAGGGGCATTTTTTTCAATTTTTTATAAAAATAAAATCCCAATATATTTCAAGTAGGGACACCAACAAAAACTCCATACACAAGCCAATTAGTTGATTTTCTATGGCTACAGACAACTGCAAACTGCCAGTTAATTGATATGCCATGCAACAGCATTGAATGCCAACAGTCTCATAACCAAAAGACCTTCATAGGTGCATGACAACAAAAAGTTATTTAAGACCATGCATTACTCAGTCTTTCAAATGTACAAAACTCTTACCCTATGACATAGCGTATTTTTCTGTCCATTCTCTTGCTAGCCTATTGTACCTAATAATTTAAACACAACTTTTGGAACTAGCTACTGAAACAAAAAAACATAAGATGCAAAAACGCTTCCAAAATGTATGCAGAAAGGCAGATATTTTCACAAACGAAAACCCAAAACGAATTTAAAAACCACGACTATTATAGGAAAGATTCTTTATTTCCGACCAAAAAAAAAACGGCTGACAAACCACCCATTGCATACCTAAGGTAAAAAGTCAAGAAATGTTTAAATATGGAATACTCACTTTTCCCTATCTGTTTTGTAGATCCGTGCAATCTCTGGCACTAGAGGGTCATCTGGGTTTGGATCACACAACAGTGAACAAATTGACAAAAGAACTGGAAGAAAAGATGTGCATAAATCAAACAAAAAAAATAAATCTTATACCACATGTTGCCGTTAACAAGTATGTGCCTATTATGGCAGCCTGGCTCACTAGTCAACCAGAGGGTGTGGGCCAACCATGAGGAAGTGTCAGAACGTTTGAAGCAGTGTTGCAGCTTTGGCAATGCAGGCATAGTTACTAGTTTGCTTTTATGTTCTGACTTGAAGAGTCAATGTGATTATTTTCCAAAAGCCTGGTGCCAACTTTTAATAGTATTGGATATCTCATAACATTTAAAAAGATTTTAGGTACCTTTATTGTATATTTTAATACACAAGTTCAGCTCCCTTTAATGAACTGTCACTTGAGTGGCTATACATCCACTTTAAACGTAATTAATATCTTACTCTAGGCCAGGGGTGGCAAACTCAAATCGGGGGCCGCATCAGCAGTATGGTTACCCTCAAAGGGCCGGTTGTATAGGACTATGCATCTACTCTTTATCATAAATAGTTGCCTCTGCATTCAGTTGCTACTGGTTTTAATAATAATTTAAGTAATAACTAGCCTTGAAAACATCCACAAGAAACTTTATTGGAGACTGCTCAGCAGAAATCCCTAATCTGGTGTTTTCAAGTGACAGCTGTCACCTAGTCAAGTTAATGATCAGGTGACAGCAGCTCCATGTAAACACATGCACACCGCATGTAATGATACGTGATATGATTACATGCGTCCAGGGAGAGTGATTGATTCCTAGCGGAATGTAAACATATCACATATCTTTACATGCGGTGTGCAGGCGTTTAACCTTCCATTCTCTTAGCAGCGGGGGAGGGGCGGCGATTTGCATATGAATGAGCCGCAATATTTACATATGAATGGGCCGTGGCTTATTGATATGCAAATTACCGCGGCCCATGGGGGGGCCGCGGGCGGGCCTTGTGTTTGCCACCCCTGCTCTAGGCGGTACAACAGTACCAGCTTGTTTAGTAGGTCTATTATTGTGGAGTCTCCGATGGCTGCTGGAGGGGATGTGGTCAGCAGGGACCTTTCTTAACCTGTGGTGAGAATAAAGCCCTTTGGGTAAATCCAATACAGCCCCCCGCCATTAAGGAGCAATTCTCCAAGGCTCAGGAAATTTAAAATATGAGCTGCAGACTTATTGGCTCAGACAAATAGGATAACTTATGGTATTTAGATAACATGTATTTACTTCACAACCAGAGCAGTTCAGGTAGCTTCATCAACTCATGACTGGCACACGAGCTTGCGTATATGGGAATCCGGTAGGTAGCACACAAAAAACTAAGATGGTCAGTGGTTGCATGTTTGTGGGGTTTAAAAAACTGAGGATAAAACCAAACATTGTACAGGTAACTTTACTGAGCGTTATACAGGGACTTCTAGAAGGCCAATCCTATGCAAGAGAATGTTCGACTGTTATTTGGTTTTTGCTGTTGTAAGGAACATTTTGACTCCTCGCAATTCACATTATGAATTCGGAAAGCATATCTAAACCCAAAAACAAAATAGGTTTGATAGATTACAACTTACCAGTCCCTAAAGGAGGTGTCTGCATTAGTATTTCTATCCCCTTTATTTCCCCCTGTAATCCTGCAACCACCACAACTCCTGTCCTTATCTGGCTATGATCACTAACTGCATGAAAAAGGAGGAAGCCATTGCTGCCATCCAGGCTGAACTTCAAACATGCCAGCTCTGATTCAACTCCATTACATTGGGAGATTTATAGTTCACAGGAGAAAGAACACTTGCAGTTCAGCTAAAAGGAAGGGACAAGGACACTGCACTGGCAAGATCAACAGGTATTCTATGTGCTTGCTGAACAAAACCCCACATCGCATTAGAGGATTGATAAGCAGCAATATATTAAAACTTTTTTTCGGCTACCTTATCCTTCAACAAAGAATGCTTTTCAACTTCCAAATTTTTTTAAAGCATGGTCTGCCTTACTCATTTGCTTTCAGTCTAATAGCATCAACATTCAGTTTCATTTGCCGATTCTGTTCTTTAAAAAATTGGTAAACCAATCTCCTCTACAAAGATGTTCGGCTTTTTTTCAAAAAGGTTGTGATAAACCGTGTAGCAAGCAGGACTAAGCCAGTAGCCACTCACCTTTAGAAATAGTTAAAGCTGGGGACCACTGTGATCTGAGAATATCAAGACAAATGCTGCCATTGCTGTTGATATTTGGATGGTAGATTCTTGTTGTAAACGCAACCTGCTCAGATAAATGGTAATACAAGATGCATGATTAGGCAGTTCAGCACTTACTCACAGTATTTACTGGGAGAACTGTAGTCCAGCTCACTTAACAGAAAAACAAAATGTACCCAACCAAGTGATAAGTTTTATGACCAGACACCCTGTAAGAGCTAATCAGAGGCACTGCTACAGTAATATCAGCCTCTTGCTGTGAGAAACAGAAGACCATATATTTATTTTCCAAGTCAGACATTACATTTGTCCTTGGCATGTGTAAATATAATGACCTTATAAAGTAGATTGATACCCACTAATTTGAGGGATAAGGTTTCTGAAGGAGTATCTAGCAAATAGTAGATCCAACACTTCTGAAGTGTCAAATATAGCAGAAAGCAAGCTTCTTAGATGCCCCATAGTTTGGTGGTACCAGTAGAAGTTAAAGTGACACTAAAGGCTAGGTCCCTCCCTCTCCCCTCCATTCTAATTCTGCCTTAAGGACTTAAATTATGTGATGCCTCTTGATATGAACATCTTCCTTCCAGTCGTTTTGGTCTCCTCAGCGCTGGTGCCCCTTTCTGATCCTGCGTGCAGACGCCTATTTTTATCCTGTGCCCCACTGATTCTGCCCTGCGTGCACACTCCCACAGCATGCGTTCATTGATTCACATTATCTCACTCCTCCCGTGCTCCTTGCCATCACAAACTGTGCATGTGCAAGCTCACATCCTCTGCTACACAAACGCTTGAGGAGGCTGTGCTCTGCAGCCAGGAGCGAGCAGCACAGGTAGGTTTTTTTTTTTTTTTTTAACTGTTTGACCACACTGCAGGTCTTCTAAATGTTAGCAGTAGATTAAAGTTGGGGAAAAAAATCCAAGTACCCTAGCTTGTAACAAAAATGCATTTGTGTATTCCTCCACTGTAGATCTAATTATCTCTTGATTCACAATGACACTGTCCTTCCTTCTGGAGGGTGACTACTTTTGTTCCCCTTGGGGCCTGTGTGTGTTGTAAAGTATCCACCACTCCAAGCTCACTCCCATGATGATGGACTACAATCTCAATATAAATTAGGAAACCACATTTTTTTCCATGCAGTATAGATAATAATGTATGTGCAGCTGATCCATGCTACAAAGTCTAACTGGGGTGGAA